TGGCTGCTGGCCACACACGGTAGCCCATGGCAACCCACTACAGCAGGGGCTGCAGCCTATGCCATCACCAGAGACTCATGGCAGCCCAGCTCCAGGTTGAGCTGTTGAGGGCAGTGTCACTGACCCTCATATGTGGGATCTGAACCGGGGCCCTCTGGCGTCCCAAGCCAGCTCTTAACCAATGCACCACTTGGCTGGTCCTAAAGGTTTCACTTTTTAGGAAAATAACTGGTGGGAACCAGAAGGTCATCATGAGTGGACAGTGTTGAAAAGCTGAGAGAAAGGGCAGGAAAACGAGAAAAGAAGCTCTGTGTACTCCCAGAGCTGGGCAGGAGACTGCTTGCATATGACCTGCACACAGCACTGGAGACAGCAGTGGTTGGTGAGTGATTCCCTGCCGTGAGGCCTGCAAGTGACCAGCAGCAGCTATAGGAAGCATCTCGGCCCCCAGTGGTCCCTTATGATACTGTCAGTCTGATTTTTTTCTGGAAACAATAGGGGGCCTCAATCTGGAAGAAGGGATAGATAGACCCATGAGAAAAGCAAGACCAGAAGAGGCAGCCCCAGACCAGAAAGGGAGTGTGAAAGCAAAAAAACACACTTGAAACGATCAACTGAAAGGAAGTGTCTTGGCACATTATGAAACTGAAATGCCATTTTTTGTCCAATTTTATTTACCAAAATATTGATACACACAAGTGGCCACAAGAAGAGGGTCCCCTGGAGAGGAGGGGCGTCCACCCTTCAGCCTCAACTGTGCCCAGATTTTCCTGGAGGAGGGGAAGGGCTGCTGGGCTTCGCCACTGGAGTGCCTGGGTGGGCTGCTTTCCCAGCAACAGGCACCCACCCCTCAGCACACGGCATTTATACAAATATTTGGATATTTCTCCAGTGGGTGGGTGGCACTAAAAGAAATGTTCTGTACTTGGCTCACTGTTGTTCTAAAAGAAAAAAGGCCAAACAGATCGATAGAGTTTAGCGACATTCCATTCACCTTATTTCTGACATTTAAGAAAAATCAGGGGCTTCCACATACAAGATTTATACTGCTCACAGTTCCTCTTGATTTTTTTTCTCCGATTCGCCTATAAATTTCTATTTTTCTAAGAGGCCAGTGAATGGACGCTTTGGCAGCCCGCTTCATAGAGTATCATTAGTCCTCCGACAGAATTTCCCCTTAGTCCGGGCTTTGCCAAGTACACTTACACTACCGACCCGGTAGGTCAGGATAGTAGTGCACAGAGTCCTCGCGTGTCCGGCTCTTGTCACGGGGACAGCGGGCGGTTCCGAGGACTCCGCCTGCACACCTCATTCAAATAGCGGCGCTCCCTACGGCTCCGCCCTTCCCCAGCCCTTTCTCCTGCCCCTTCCCTCTCTAGAGCACGCACAATGAATTTCCCTCATTCACCTAGTTTTTTGTTTGTTTAGTCCCCACTGGAATATAAGCTCCTGGTGACAGGGCGTGGGCTGGGACCCAGGGCGAGGTGCGCGCCGTTGGCGTCGGAGGGCAGGGTGGGATCCTGTCCTATTTACATGTTTGATGTTTTGTTCATCATGAACATTTTGGCATTAATTTTGAATTTTTAAAATATTGTATTAGAATTTTTTTATTACTGAGTTTTCTGGCGCTCACTAAATTCTGCGCTCACGCAAGTGCCTCTCCCGCTGGGGCCGAGAGCTGAGACTATTTTACTCTAGGCCCAATACCAGGGCCCCCTGCAGTACAGGGCAAATTAACACTCTCTCACTCGGTAAAAAACATTCTTTAAAAATCTCCGCCAGTTACCACTTGCAAGACTCCTGGGAACCTCCCAGCCTGGGCACAGGAAGTCTGGGTAATCACGGGAAAGAACTGGGCTTGTCTCCCCACCGCCCCGTCCTTGCCCCTTTCAGGCCAAACCGCCCTGCCCCTCCCATGTCTGCGGGACTCCTGTGGCAGGTGGGGCGGGAATGAACGCAGAGTAGGGACTAGGAAGCGGGGAGCGGGGGTGGACTTAGGGGCCAGGGCGCCATGGGCAGGGGCAGGGGAGGGCGCCGAGGGGAGAAGAGCGCGTGGGTCAGAGCAGGAAGGCAGCGTGCGAGGCGTAGTGAGGCAGGTCGGATAGCTGAGCGGAGAAGGGGGATGGGAAGTGGAGAGGGCCGGGCAGAGGGCGTGGGGCGGGGCCCGTAGGGAAGAGTGAGGGGGCGGGGCAGGGTTGCAGAGTGGAGAGCTCTAGGGTGGGAAGATGCCGGGCGACCCGGCTCTCAAGAGACGGGTGCAGCGACGTAGCCGCCGCGGCTGCATCTGGGGTCGCTGGTGTCTGTGAGTGCCACCCCCCCCCACCACCACCACCCGGAGGGCGAGGCTGGTGCCGAGATCCGGGAGAGTCTTGCGCGGCCCGAGAGCCAGGCGGTGCGAAGGAAGGCGGGACACCGCTGCCAGCCTTCAGGTGACGATCCACCTGCGCTTACCGCCGCCCCTCCGCCCTTCTCTCCCGCAGGTGTCCGTACCCCGTTGATGACCATCCACCTTCGCTCACTGCCTCCCTCTCCCCTTTCTCTCCGTAGGTGTCCTCCACCGCAGGTGACCTCGAGCGGGCCATGGTGGATGCGCTGGGCGGGCGACACCTCGTGACCGCTGGCGGCGCGTGGGTGGAGGCCGAGACTGTGCTGCAGAACAAGGTGGTGGCGCTCTACTTCGCGGCCGCCCGGTGCGCGCCCAGCCGCGACTTTACGCCGCTGCTCCGTGACTTCTACGTGGAGCTAGTGGAGCAGGCGCTGCCGCCCGCGCCCTTGGCTGTGGTCTTGGTGTCAGCCGACCGCAGCGCCCGGGAGATGGAAGACTTCATGAGCCAGCTGCCCGGTGGCTGGCTAGCGTTGCCCTTCTACGACCCCTATCGGCAGTGAGTGGGGCCCCGTCCCGCGCTTTTCCCTGCGGTCTGGAGTGCCGACCCCGACGGTCCTCCCACACACATATCCGGGTTGGGCGGTCCTCGGGTACATTGTAGTCTCTGCTCAGCGTCCCCGGGAGGCTCTAGCAGTTGGCGGACTGGAGCGTCCGCGTCCCCGGGGGGGCTTGGTGAGCCCGAATCCTATCGCACCCCAGTCTCTGATTCCGAGGGTCTGCGTTTTTCACGAGCTCCGGTGATGTTGCGGTGAGCGGATTCCACCTTGGGAGCCGCAGCCCGCAACGCCCCGCCCCACCCCACCGCACAGGGAAGATCCTGAGTCTGGAGAGCAGGAGAGGGGACCTAGGAGGCCACTCCAGCCAGAACTGGAGACCGTGGATTAGCTGACCAGGCCAGTAGTGCGTGGTGGCTGGAGGGGAGGTGCCGAGGGACGGGCAGGAGCTCCGGGGCTGGAGGAACCCAGTGCTGGCCACGCTGCAGTTTTATTTTTACTGCCAGTGACTGGAATTTCCTAACCATAAAGGTGATTCCTGCTCCGACAACTGTAGGGGGAACCAGGTTCCCGGATTCCTGCCGAGGCAGATGTCAGAGGCGGCTAAAATCTAGCCCTGAACGATCTCATTCTGCCCTTGCGTTAGACAGGGATCTGTTGGATTTCAGAGTTTGTGAATTGACCGTAGTCCTCCTTTGGCTGTGGTTACAGACTCCGCGAAGGGGAGGAGGGAGGACTTGGGGGAGGAAGATGGACAGGGAGGGAGGATGTGGGAGGACGTAGGGGGAATTGGCAGATGGGGAGTATGATAGGGACCCTAATGTCCAGCATGTTGGGTCTCCTGTGGTGTAAGTGTCCAGATTTGGGTTTAAATTGCGCTTCACAACGTGCATTACCCCACCATCCCTTAGCAGATGCAGAACAGAATTTCTGGGCTTTGTTTTACAGGGGTAACTGTCACATTTCTCTGGTGATTATTATACAGTTGTGGCATTAACCACCAATTTAATTGTCCTCAGATGACATTCCTTCTGGCCAATTAAAAATGGAAGCTAACTTTGGAAGTCCTGTGGAAGTGTAACTCTTCCCCCAGCACCTGCTTTGGTTCATGCTGAGGAAGAAATGAGAGGGCAAACTTGCTTCCTCAAGCCTCTGTCACAGCAGGACTAAGTCAACCAGATAAATCCAAATGACCGCGATTCACTTGGCAAAAGGATGCATTATAGCATTACGTCTTGTGCTGGTTGTAAAATGCGTTTTGATTTGCTTCGTACTTGAGTTTATACACAGCTTTTGAAAGAACACATTTAGTTTTGAAAGTGATGTAATCAAGTTAAGAGCTCAGGCCTGGCAGAGCCCAGCTCTGGGATTCACCCATGGGGTGACCGGGGGCTGAGTATAATGACACGTCACAGACGCACGAGGACTGCGTTGACACATGAATTCAGAGCATGTCAGCTGGTGGTGTGCCAGCACTTGGTGTGTACGGCCCATTTCACAGATGTGCCTTAAGGCTCAGAGGCCGGCACTCCTGGCCCTGGAACTCTTTCTGCTTTGGCTGCTGCTTCCCCGAGGGGCCCTAGCTGGGAGAAGGGTCATCAGAACTACCTTCCACTTCCTTGGTTATCTTGTCAAAGCTGCTGAGGTTCCTGCAGGCAGCTGAGCAGCTCAGGGCCCAGGTGGCCTCACTTGGCCATCTCAGGCCAGGAGCTGACTTCCTTCAGACCCGGCCTCACCCCTCTGTTTTTCCACTTGAAGAAGTTAGCTCCTGCTCCTTTCCAGACTGCACTTCATTAACCCTGTCATTGCTGTTTGTACATTAGGAAATGGGATATTCTGTGGGGATTCTTGGTGCTGTTTCCCCAATTCTGCTTATCCCAGCCTGAATTTATGGGATCAGATCAGGAGCAAAATAGAAATAGCCACCACCAAGGAGAACGAAGGAATGTAGGGCGGAAGCGGAGGAAGTTCCTAATGTATGCAGAACACAGCCCTCTGCTGGGTGCTATGGGAAAGTGGGGCCAGGGCAGTAATCTCCTTGGCCCCTTGGTCACAGTGAGGGATCCCTGCTGTCTTCCCTCAGCGGCTGTCCATTGGATTACTGCTGACCGCCAAGTCTTAGGAGGAAGAGAGGACATTACCCACAGAGCCCCCACAGGGTCACCCTGGCATGGCTGGAGGTAGGACCGCTGCAAATACCCCTGCAGGAAGAAAATTCCTGGAGTCGCTCACCTTGTCCCCAGAGCCCACACAAAACCCGTTTGAGACTGCCCTTCTGCCTGGACAGGCGGATGTTTACTGATGTCTTTCCTACCAGAGGCAGAGTGGGCGAGAGGAGGGACTGACCTTCAAGGCCTGAACATGGGGCCAGCACCCAGAACAGGCCGTCCTACCTGGCTTCCTTCCCTTTGTTACAGGCCTAAGAAAGAAGCAACAATTAAATACAAGGTCTGACAATTAAGTTTGTGAACCCATCCTAGAAAAAATGCTACATACTTCATTGCCGAATATACTATGATCACCTTCGGAGTAGTCCCCTTGGAGAGCTATGCACAGATGCCAGCGCCTAGTCCATCTTTCCAAGCAATTGTGCAACTCTTTTTCTGGAATGGTCATCAGTGCTCTCATTGTATTACTCTTGATGTCCTGAATGTCATCAAAATGTCTTCCTTTCAATATTTCCTTTATCTTTGGGTAAAGAAGGAAGTCACTGGGGGCCAGATCAGGTGAGTAGGGAGGGTGTTCCAATACAGTTATTTGTTTACTGGCTAAAAATTCCCTCACAGACAGTGCCATGTGAGTTGGTGCATTGTCGTGATGCAAGAGCCGTAAATTGTTGGTGAAAGTTCAGGTCGTCTAACTTTTTCGCGCATCCTTTTCAGACTTCTAAATAGTAAATTTGGTTAACTGTTTGTCCAGTTGGTACAAATTCATAATGAATAATCCCTCTGATATCAAAAAGGTTAGCAACATCGTTGCAACAAGAACTTAATTGTCAGATCTTGTATGCCAGCAAGAATTCCTGTTGCGTGCGCCCACGCATGCTAGATCTGCTCAGTGGTGATGTCACACAAATTTTTTGATGGTTGCTTGACAACACTTATGCCCACTTAGGCTCTGGAACCTCAGCAGACCCCAAAGAGGCCTGGAGCAGACCCCCTTCCTGCTCTGGGTTGATCACTGCCCCCCACCATAGGCCTGGTGGATGGAGAACCTTGGCTTCCAGGTCTACAAGTTTGGATTGGATGGAAAAGACAGCTGGCCGTGGCTTCATCTCCTGGGTAGACAACAGTTCCATTAGAGACCTCAACGCAGTGGCGTAGAGTCAGTGCATGTGCCAAGCTGCTTGGCCCTGGCCTCTCCACCCCGGGGTTCCAGCTCTTTTGGGCCCCCTGACTCATCACGTCTCTGTCAGGCCCCAAATCCACTGAATCTGTGGCTCTCCAGTCCTTTCTCAGCTTTCTACTCATTGCTACTTTCTTCATTTAGATCCTGAACCATCAGAATATTCTAACTGGTCCGCCCGGCCTCAGTGTCCTCCTTTAAAGGACTCTTGTTCTCACACCTGCCTCATCACATGTCATCAAAGAAGTCTGTTCCTGCCATGCCATACCCCAGTTCTCCAGGGATTCCCCGAGCTCCTGTTGCCCTGCCCTCCAGTATTTGACCACATTTTCCTCCCAGCCCAGTCCTTTCCACCTGTGTTCTGCCCAGACTGGACAACTGAATTTCTAGAACACTACACATACTTTCCCACCCCCAAAGTTTGCACATGCCACAGCCCCCAAGCCTGGAGCCCCCCCCCTGGAAGCCCCTCTTCCATGCCTCTGGAGACACCGGGAGCATTTCTGGCCTGGGGGGCCCTATGTCCTTCATAGCTCGAGCCCAGTGCCACCCTGTGTAGGAGTGTGTGTTTGAGGGGTCTCTGTAGCCCTAAAGTTGGACCAGACCTTGTCCAGTGCTTGGCACCTGCAGGGTGCTTGTTGGATGGGTGATTGGAGCAAGTAGATTTGCTCTGGACGGCCTGCTGGTGGTTGAAATGGAAAGAGACTGGAGCCAGAAGTTGCCATGGCAACCTAGAAGTGGTTGTGCCAGTGACAAGGACATACTGCATTAGGTGAAGCAAGGGGGCCAACGTAGCAGCAGCAGCCAGCACCAGGGGCAGAAGAACTGGGTTCTTGGATTTCCCTCAAATGGTTAAATGCCCAGTTATAATGACTTCCCGCTGCCCAGCGACAAGGTCCTCTCCTTTCCAAGGCACAGTCTCATCTCTCTGGACATAGCTCAGTGCCCAGAGGGGATTGAGATGACTCCAGGGGAGGAGGGTGGGTAAGTGCCTCTCCTGCATGGCTCCAAGGTTACAGTTGTCCCCAGGCAGATGCTGCCAGGGTGGGGATTTGAGGGCTTACACTGGTGACTCTTTTGAAGATTACCTGGAGCAACAAAATGTCTATTCCAAACCTCCTTGCTCCTCAAAACCCAGCCTGCCTTGCATTCCCCTGACTGCCTCAGAGTTTGGTTTGATGTTTCAGGTGATTAAAACAACAGCAAAGCCTAAACAAGAAAGGTTATTGATCAGCTTACCTGGGACACCCAGCAGCCAGGAGCTGGTCAGAGGGAGGAGGAAGGCCACTGAGGACTTGTGGCTCTGCCTTCGGCCATGGCCTTCATGCTCGGGCCGCAGCCAGTGGCTGCCTGGCAAATGCAGCCTTTCGCGGTGACAGAGTGGCTGCCAGGTGTCGGGCTGCACACCCTCACACCCTCCTCTTTCCTAGCACACGTAAGTGCACCCAGAGCTCATTGGTCCTGAGTGTGCTACTTATTCGTGTACTGGTCAGTACAGCCAGGGGCCGAGGCCTTGCTGACTGGGCACGTGGCCCAGCTGGAGTTGGGGCTGGGTCCTCCCACCCCAAGAGAACACCAGCGTTTATTGAGTACTTATATACACCAAGCCCTTAGCTAAGCTCTACATGTATTAATCATTTCAGCCTCACAGCAACTCCAGGAACTGGGCTCTGTTATTCGGTGGTGCAGATGAGGAATCTGGGATGTAGGGAGGTAAACTAGCTTGCCCGAGTCACACAGCTGGTAAATGCCAGAGGGTGGAGGAGGCGTGCTTTCCAAAGGGGCATCATGGATGCTGAGCAGCAAGCCACAGGTCTCTGCCCCCCAAGCTGCAGAGGGCCCTGTCCTCAGCTTGTGCTCCCGCCTGCCCTTCCCCTTCCTCCGGGTCCCTGGAGGGGAAGCAGGAAGCCCTGGGAGGTTTGGCAATCTTGGGCAAGTGGGCTCCACGCCCATCATCAGGGGCAGGAGCTTCTGCATTTCTGATAATTGCCTGGGTGACGCTGTTGCCGCTGGTCCAGGGACCCCATACTCAGAGGTGCTGCTGTTCCGGATGTGCTGCTCAAAGGCTGGACTCTGGATGCAGAGGCTGCGTCAGGCTCGAGGGGGCTCAGGTCCTCCAGGATCCCCGCACCTCGCCACCCTCCAAAAGCCCGTCAGGCTCTTCCTCCTCAGGGGTAAGCCCCGAGGTCCTGGGTGGCAACTCCACAGCCGGACCACCACTTCCCTTCTTGGCAGGGTGGGCACTGCATGCCCTGTCCCCACTGCTCAGAGTCAGGCGCTGTCACAACCTACCTGTCCCCAAGGCCAGACAAAGCTTAGATCAGGCCCTTGGCTTTTTCCCTCTAGTTTTTGTACAGAGTTATTTGGGTTGTTTCATATTTTTGTTTTATGCCTTTGGGGAAAGCTAATTTCTTAGGTGTTTCAAAATTCAGGGATTGTGCAGGATTCTTAAAACATTGGAGAGAGTCGTCTCTGCCATGTTTTTCATCGGCCCTGCCTGAGTGCCCAGACCTGTTTGTGACAGATCTGTTTGTTCCCTCAGCCTGCAATTTGATGTGGATTGGCATCTATTCTGTTTGTGGTTTGGGCTTGTTTGTCCTGCAATGCTGTTTCATCAGGGCCGTCTGTATCGTATCTTTCTCATTGTTCATGATCGTTTTTACATAATAGTTCCCATGTTTTTTTTCTCTCCCATTTATTTTTTCTCCCTCATGTAAGTAGTGGATACCTGTGGACTGGTTTCCAGGAGCTGCTTGCCTGGCAGCCGTGTGCAGGGTTTCCTGCAGGAACAGGCCGTCCAGTAGTTCCATGTGTTCCCAGGAGCAACCACGGCCGTCTGCTGTGTTCCTGGCATCCCTTTCCCTGGCCCAGTCTTGGTAGAGCTTTGTGCCAATTTTTAGTCTTTCTTAACATTTTTGTTGTGACTTTCGTCTATAGTTGAACGATATTTCCATGCCACTGACTGTGGTGTTCAACTTTACCCCATGAGCTCAATGTTCCAGAAAGGAAGTTTAGCAAAGCAGATGTACATTTTTCTATACTTTTGTGTTTTTCAAGCATGAATAACAATAGGAAATGTTTATACTTTAATCATTTATTTTAATAAAATGTAGCACCTTAACTGTATTTACTTAAAAATATAAATACTGTAATTATTTTCTGTGGACTTTTGACACATTTTGGAGAATAAACTTGAAATCCATTAACGCAGTGAAAAGGTTAAGAATCAGGCTTAGTTTTATTGCTCACCGCGTTTTGATTCATTTCCTATTTCATTGATTTCTGTCCTCAGTCTTCTTTTGCCTCTTTCCACCTATCCGCTTTTGTTGCGTTTGCTCCATCGTTGTTTTTCTAGCTTCTTGAATTAAATGCAGAATTCATTCTAGACACCTTCTAGTTTTGGATAAGGGTGTTTAAGACCACAGCTTCCTAACTGTCGAATTGTACCTCCAGCTTGGGATCTGTAGTATATTCCATATTGCTCTGTGTTAATTATTTTGTAGTCTGCACTGCTGTTTCACATATAATATATGGTTATTTAGTTCTTAAGCTCATTCCAAAAAATTATTTTTATTGGCTTCCGATTTCATTACATTATGGGCTAAGTGGTCTGTGTACTACTGATTATTTGAAATTTAGTAAGATCCCCCCTGTGACCGAGAGCATGGCCAGTTTGTCACTGTCTCCTAGATATTTGAAAATGAGGTATATTCTCCATTTTTCGGGTGTAGGTACTGTGTTTTCTTGCTCCAGCTGAGCTTTGTCTTTGATCTGGGTGCTGGACAACAGCGAGAAGACTTTCATGGAGATGTCAGGGGGAAGATTTGGTAACAGGAGGGTCTTAAGTGCATTTTTCCTTCTACTCAGATTCACAGTCCTGAAGTTGCCAGATGAGGGAAATCAGATTACTGTTGACGTGAAGCCTTTCAAGCTGACCATGGGCATACGAAGGAGATTTTCATCAGGTGTCCTGTCCTGAGGGCAGTAATCCCTGTGAAGGTTACAGGGAGATTTGGGGAACTAAGAAGGATGATGTTCCTTTCCCTAAATAAATGCAAATCATTTTGTAGAAAGGCCACTCATGGGGTTACACTTGATGGTAAAAGTAGTCAAGAAATGGTTCATCCGTAATGTTAATCAGCGTGTCCTCAAATTTGTAGGGCAGAGAGTTGAATAAGGCTTTGCATTTATTTAGAGCTCATGGGATTTTAACTTTCACCATTCTGTGTACCTGATATTTTTCAACCTCTTGAGATGCAGAGAGAGATACC